CCTGGGGACCCTGAACAGCCCCAGGGGACCCCAGCAGTGCCCCCCAGCCCCAGGGGACCCCGACTCTGCCCCCCAGCCCCTGGGGACCCTGAACAGCCCCAGGGGACCCCAGCAGTGCCCCCCAGCCCCAGGGGACCCCGACTCTGCCCCCCAGCCCCTGGGGACCCTGAACAGCCCCTGGGGACCCCGGAACTGCCCCTCATCAGCACTTGGGGACCCTGGAACTGCCCCTGGGGACCCCAGCAGTGCCCCCCGGAACCCCTGGGGACCCCAGCAGTGCCCCCCAGCCCCAGGGGACCCCAGCTCTGCCCCCCAGAACCCCAGGGGACCCCAGCAGTGCCCCCCAGCCCCTGGGGACCCCGACTCACGCAGGTGAAGAGCAGGGCCCCCAGCGAGGCGTAGACGATGTCCACGATGCGGTTCCGGATGAAGATGCAGAGGATGGAGAAGAGGATGAGCACGACCAGGCAGATGATGAGGACGCCCCGGCACGAGGTGAAATCGTACTTGGTCTGTGGGGAGGGGGATTGGGGGGGATCAGAGCCCCGTGTGGAGCCCCCAGACCCAGCAGGGGCCTCAGAGGGGTCACCCCCCTGTTGAGAGCCCCCAGACCCAGCAGGGAGCTCAGGGAGAGTCATACACCCCATCAGGGGCTCCAAGGCCCGGGAGGGAGCTGAGGGGAGACCCCAGACCCCCCCAGGACCCAGCAGGGAGCTGAGGGGAGACCCCAGAGCCCCCAGACCCAGCAGGGAGCTCAGGGAGGGGTCACCCCCCTGTTCAGAGCCCCCAGACCCAGCAGGGAGCTCAGGGAGGGGTCACCCCCCTGTTCAGAGCCCCCAGACCCAGCAGGGAGCTCAGGGAGGGGTCACCCCCCTGTTCAGAGCCCCCAGACCCAGCAGGGAGCTCAGGGAGGGGTCACCCCCCTGTTCAGAGCCCCCAGACCCAGCAGGGAGCTCAGGGAGGGGTCACCCCCCTGTTCAGAGCCCCCAGACCCAGCAGGGAGCTCAGGGAGGGGTCACCCCCCTGTTCAGAGCCCCCAGACCCAGCAGGGAGCTCAGGGAGGGGTCACCCCCCTGTTCAGAGCCCCCAGACCCAGCAGGGAGCTGAGGGGAGACCCCAGAGCCCCCAGACCCAGCAGGGAGCTCAGAGGGGAGACCCCAGAGCCCCCAGACCCAGCAGGGAGCTGAGGGGAGACCCCAGACCCCCCCAGGACCCCGAGGGGGGCTGTACCCCCGGTGTGGAGCCCCCAGAGCCAGCAGGGACAGCCCTGGCGCTGACCTGCAGCGAGAAGATGACGACGGTGAAGCAGACGACGACGGTGATGCCCACGGCCATGATGACGGCCTCGGTGTCGTAGAAGCTGGCGATCATCCCCACCATGTAGGACAGGCTGACGGTCAGGATGGACTGGGGGACAGGGGGGACACGTCAGGGCTGCCTGAGCAGCGTGGCACCCCAAAACATGGCACGTGTGCCCTGATCAGTGTCACCTGCCTCAGTGTCCCCTGGATCAGTGTCCCCTGGGTCAGTGTCCCCTGCCTCAGTGTCCCCTGGGTCAGTGTCACCTGCCTCAGTGTCCCCTGGATCAGTGTCCCCTGGGTCAGTGTCCCCTGCCTCAGTGTCCCCTGGGTCAGTGTCACCAAACCCTCAGTGTCCCCTTTTCAGTGTCCCCTGCCTCAGTGTCCCCTGGGTCAGTGTCCCCTGGGTCAGTGTCACCTGGATCAGTGTCACCAACCCCTCGGTGTCCCCTGGGTCAGTGTCCCCTGGGTCAGTGTCCCCTGGGTCAGTGTCACCTGCCTCAGTGTCCCCTGGGTCAGTGTCACCTGCCTCAGTGTCCCCTGGGTCAGTGTCCCCTGGGTCAGTGTCACCAACTTTCAGTGTCCCCTGCCTCAGTGTCCCCTGGGTCAGTGTCCCCTGGGTCAGTGTCACCTGGATCAGTGTCACCTGGGTCAGTGTCACCTGGGTCAGTGTCCCCTGCCTCAGTGTCACCTGGATCAGTGTCACCAAACCCTCGGTGTCCCCTGGGTCAGTGTCCCCAAACATGGCACGCGTCCCCTGGATGAGTGTCCCCAGACCCTCAGTGTCCCCTGATCAGTGTCCCCAAATACTCAGTGTCCCCTGATCAGTGTCCCCAAACCCTCAGTGTCCCCTGCCTCAGTGTCCCCTGCCTCAGTGTCCCCTGGGTCAGTGTCCCCAACCTTCAGTGTCCCCCGCCTCAGTGTCCCCAAATACTCAGTGTCCCCAACCCTCAGTGTCCCCAACCCTCAGTGTCCCCAGCCTTCGGTGTCCCCTGTCTCAGTGTCCCTGCCTCGGTGTCCCCAAACCCTCAGTGTCCCCAAACCCCCCGTGCCCCCCATTCCCAGGACCCGTCGTGCCCCCGGTACCCCCCATACCCCCCATACCCCCCTGTA